CGTCCTTGGAGACAATGTTCCCCGCCATATGTTCATCCGCCAATGTCCTGCAAGGACCTTGGTGGATGCAGATGTCCTGATCTGATAACATCATTAGGTGATGTTTCATGTCAGCCCTGAGACATCAGAGTGCTGTGATAACGGATCAAGCTGACCCTTTGATGCTGAGGTAGTTGGAAGACACTAACCCTGTGCTGCTGCTTCTGTTCAAACGGATGTAAAGGAGCAGCAGCTGGCTCTTAGCTAGTGTTTATTCAGTGGCCAGCAATGTCATATGTAGCTTTTTTTCTCACATTTCATGCCAGCAGAGAGCAAAAAGCTTATAAAGGAGAATAGTGTCATTAGCCCCACTTCAGATAGTAGACCAGGAAACTGGGAAAGACAACTTGGAGTCATGCAGGATGCAGCATCGGGAGAAGTCTGCTTTTTTGAGTCCCAGTCCAGGATTTACCAACTATCTCGCAGTTAATGAATCTGACTGCACAGAACACAAAGATGACCCATGAGCTCACAAGGTAATTCAAGCCTGAAGCACTTACTTTTCCCATCTCTGCAGCAGCCAGTCAGATCTGTTCTAACATACAATATTCCCATGAACACAGTGCTTAGGAAACTACTGCGCAGCTTGGTGTTTTACTGCCTGCCTAAGACTAATGGGATACTGTACATTTACACACACTTGATAAGGAGGATCCTGAAAAGGTGGCTATAATCAACAGCATCTCAGTCCAACCATGGAAGGTAGTATTGACTTCAGGAGTAAATGCACAGCTGGGACTACTCAGAAGGATACACAGCCATAGTAAGTCTTCCCAGTTAATAAACAAAACTGTTTTTCTGCTGATGTTTTCATAGGTGCATAAACAACCAGATGGTTGCATTCTCAAAGTAAAACTTCATTACAGAGAGAGAGGGACTAGTCACGCTCCAAGCAGAGTCACACAGCTCCAAGTTATGGCCAGTGGAGTTCTAAGGCTCTGACACAACATACATTGCGGGGACAGGCCAGTCATGGAGTATGTGGTGGTGGGCTGGGAGACAGAGACAAGCCATCAGCAGAAAGACTTTTTTGATGGATTGTTTTTTTTTTAACTTTGCAAACTTCCACTCCAGAGATAATAAAGGAGGCATTCCCAATATGAAATCAATGTGTAGAAGCTCAGTTAAAGCAAAAGTAAAGAAGTCAGAGTTTTGAAACCGTACTGGTGCAGCACCCAGGCTACAGAATTAAAACCCATGCCACTGAGGAAATGTGGAAGGAGCATTTCTACCAGCAAGGTTAGCTGGATTCTGCCACACAGATCTGCACCAACATTTTGCAAAGACAAATGAACCTAAAATTACAGTGAAAGCTGAACGAAAGCACACAAAGGAGAAAGCGCATCTCACCAGTAATGGGAGGAGCAAGGCAGATGTTTGGTGCAATACTCCTGAGGACAGACTACAAACAGGCATGCCATGCATAGCTAATAGTATGACTGAGAGACAAGGCAACATATGATTTGCAGGGGTCTTGAGCAACATGCAGCTCTTTGAAGATGTTTACAAACCTGTCCAGAAGGTGATGGTACTTCTTGTTTATTCAGCTGCTTCTTGGACCTGGCTTTTATGCTTGGTTTTCCCACCAGACTCTCAGTCAGGTCTGAACTCAGACCAAAGCTTGCTGGATCCTTGCAGAGTTTCTCATAGATCTCCAGCAAACAGTACGCATCTGAAGCTGAAAATAAGGGAATATGAGCCTCAGCTGGTTTCATTCAGAAGTAAAACAGGGGCTTTCCTGATGCAAGGGAAAGCCCTCACCTTTGTAAATGCCACTGAACACAAACACCCTTTGAAGCTCCAACTTACTCGTGTCATACCCTGCACTCTTCCTGAGTGAGCATCATAACCTAACACACGATCACAAAGAGTCAAGGCAGAAGAGCTCAAAAAGCAACAGGCCCTCTGCTGTCCCTGACTCTAACGTAATGCAAATTGTAGCGTGCCTGTTCAAACCACCATGTAAGATAGCTTCAGCCAACCCACTTTACTCTCCATTGTTACTGAGCAGCGGCTTGCCCATGGTTTATTACCGCATCTCAGCTATGGGAAGGTAACTTCCCCATTAGATGCAATATCTTAAAAAGTAATAACAGTTGTTTGCAACCACCTGCCCACACGCGCTGCCATGTGCCTTCTGTTCCTTGCAACGGGAACTGTGTAAGTCTCCAAGCCAGTTTTACAAGTCCTAGTGATTAACTTTTGTGGGAACTGTGTCAGCTTCAAGGATAGTTGAATTTCACAAAGGGGTGGTTCTCTTCAGTAGACTGTCCTTTGATGGCCCAGGAAAGGATTTAGACCCAGACTCCTGACTCTGGGGTAATCAGCAATGAACTCCACTGGTCCCTCCACAGGGATTCTGTGCTGCAGCTCTGACAGCATGCCTACCCGTTTTTAACCCTGCTCTAACAAGCACTTCACTATGACAAATGAACACAGCACTTGCTTCCCAGAAAGGCTGTCAAATGAGAAAGAAGGAAGTGGACTTTCTTCCTTTCCGTTACTGACAGGAGTTTCCACTGAGGTGATGTTTCATTAGGCAAAATCTGCAAAGCACAGGAATTCTTTCATGAGGGGAATAATGAACCACTGGACAGTTTAAACTTCAACCATTAAAGCCATGTCTGCAAAAAGACAAATAATAACGTGTGCTGGCCTCTCTGAATAGAAACTAATCTGCAAAGCCATCTTCTTCGTTTGCTACTTAACGATTTTCCCAGTGAAAGAGAACAGACAAACACAGCCTGTAATGGACAATCTGCAGCACCTTGCCAGAGAGTCAGTGACCAGACCTGCATAGAGTATCTGTTCCTCCCGCAGAGGCCGTTTCTCCCAGTTAGACAGCTGCTCTGTTTTATCTAGAGGTTTCCCCAGCACATGTTGCACCAAGAGGCTGAGTCCTTTCTCTGGCTGCCTGAACCTTCTACCCTCATAGCTCTGCTCTGGGGACAGTACATCGACCTTCCGGCCGCCCTTCTTCCAGTCAATGGAGCTCTTCTGCAGCTGACGGAAAGAAAAAGATATAAACCACATGGTTATGAAACAACTTCTACAACACCTCCTATTCCAGTGGGTGGGGCCATGCAGCAACCCCACCATTTTTATCTCTCGCCTGGCATATTGAATCCCGTTGTCTCAGACAAGGGCTGGGATGGCATTAGATCGTCTGGTTATTTGTTTAACAAACACACTTGCTGGAAAGAAATCGTCTTCATAGCCAGGGAAGGAAAAAAAGTACATTGTCATACAGCATTGCATCAGAGCAGTGGGGCTGTGACTGACTTCTCAGAGGTCTGTAGGGTGCTCAGCCATGCTGGAGGCTGTTTGGCACCAAGTCAATAAAAGAATAGAAGCGGTAGTTCAGCACCTTTCTCCTCTGAGCTCCAGTGAGAAAAAGCATTCCTGTAACACAGTGGGCAATGGCCTTTCTGCCGTTGCCATTTCTCAGATTAAGCTGAGGCACAGCTGTTGGCAGCTACCTCAGACCCTGCAGCACTTCCCAGGTTAAACTATCAGTCCCAAAGATCTGGGTTCACCCCAACCCACAGCTTTAAACACATTCTGTGAATTTTACCCTTTAAAATAGTTGTCCTTCACATTTCTGCAGACTGCTAAGAACTACTGTGTGCAAACCCAGAAGCAGCTGAACAGAAATTCCTGTGCTGAACCCACCAGCAGTCCTACAAACATTATGAGTTCTCTACAAACCATTAACTCCACAATATCTGTTTCAATACCGCATGACCTTGGAACATCAGAGTTTCTACAAGGATTTACTCTTACCGAGCCCAAGTATTGACCTATGCTCAGAAACTTTGTCCAAGCTGAAGGGATCTATGTCTCCATTTCAATTGCTTTTTCATAACTTTTATAAAGGCTATGAAAAAAGTTATTAGTACATCAAGCTCTAACTTTTTAGTTGATGAAAACTAAATGCTTCTGTCTTTCTTCGCAGAATCACATTACCCTCGAAACCACAAGCGGAAAAGGTCTATTTACTCATTTAGCCATCTCCCTGCCAACAGAGGATACAAAAAGACAATGCTGTGAATTCATGACAGTTATCTACAAGCACACACAGGAGACACAATTTTCCATATCTGCATGTGTTCATCCTTACTTGTTTGTCTACTGTGAGCAGGTCCACCACACCTTGTGCTTGCTTATCTGTGTCTTTCAAAGCAGACCATGTGGCTGCAAGGCTTTTAAGGTCTTCAGACATCCCATACCCTGGAGAAAAAAAACAGCCCAAATCACGCAGGTAGGAAAACTCAAATAATGGCTAATACACAGCAGCTTTGTCTAGTTCAGAGTCAAAATGCTGACAACAAATGTATAAACGTTAGTGGAAAGACTGTTCAGATAGAGAACAAGGCAGACTCCCGTGTCTCCTGTTCCTAAGAGATACTCTTGCAGATCAATACTGGGAGAGAAGAGGTGGATGAAAAATGCTGAGTTTCAGATCAGCTTACTTAAAGTCTGCTAGGTCAGTGAAAGGCAATTATGAATTTGCCCTTGAACTCTGGGTTTAACAACTCCTACTAAAAGCGTCCAAACAGAATCTAAAACCAGGTATGGTAAGCCAGAGAGCTTTGATGTCCAGCACAGCGGCTTTGGGACAGGGCCAGCCAATCCAGAAAGCTCTGGATGGAAGGCTTCCCTAGACCACTGAAGGTTGGGTACAAGTCGGGGTTTAGTATGGAACAATCGCAAGTCTGCGGGGGAAGGCTAAATCAGAAATCTTGGGTCTGACCTGAAATGGGGAGGCATTTCTGTCACTCCCAGTTACACGGGTCACCCTGCTTCCTGGCATGGCAGTATTTGAATACCCAGGGCTACAAAAGCTGTTCCATGATACGTGATTTCGAGAATGACAACCCCAAGAGGATCTAGAAATTACACAAAATAAGCTGTGTAAAGACCTGAGGTGAGAAGAGAGCCATGTTACCTAGTTTAGTGATGGCTGCATCTGAATAGAGCATCTGGATGAAATGAGGAAGCTTCTCCTTCTCACCCTCCGTCCCAGCTTGCTCAAGGAGCCGTGGCAAGTCAAGGAGGAACACTTCATCCTTCAGAGCAATTTGAAGGAGGGAGACACGGGGCTTCCCGACCATGCCGAACGAGGGCCTCCACTCCATGTCAATGCCAACAACCTGCCCGGGCTGCAACACAGACAAAAGTCGCCTTCACTTAGAGACTGTCTACGCTTGAAAGTAGCCTGGATAGTCCCTGTCCAGAACACAAGCATCTCCTTTCCAACAACTGCATCTCTTTGCTAGTGTGGAAACTGCTACACAGACAAGTAACTTTCACAGCACACCTGAGTTACTCCCATGGGGACTTTTCCTGGCATGGCAATTTGCAACGTGTTCCCCATATCAGACAAGCTTAAAGGAAGCAGCTGTTCTTGACTTGGGGAGGGAGACATTTGATGGCAGTGGCCCACATACTACCCTGCGTACCAGCCTGCTACGGAGTTTCTGCTCCTTGACCCTGCAAAGTAAATACCAGAGTAAAAACTTACCCGCAGCACCTTTTCCCAGCACTGCAGCATCTCTTCCCATGTCTGCAGGAAGTGAATATTTGCCCGTGGAATAGGAAGCTGGTAATAGTCCTTCTTCCTACTCTCTTCATAATGATCTTCTTTTGAGGCCTCTTCTACCCTGCGCAGAATCAGATGCAACAGCTTTAATCCATGCAATAAGAGGAAATCCTGGACTGAAGGACCATCAGGAAGTCTTAAGCCCCTTATTTCACCCTGGCCCTCTATTTCTGCATGCCACTCAACTCTTTCTCTTACCCTCTTCTTTCCTCACTTTCCTGTAATCTCAGTCTCTTTCATCTTGACACATCCTCTCTTTCTATTCCTATCACAGAAATGGCACTGCATCCAAGACCTCACCATGCATGTGCACTGTACCCACTGCAGAGAACACCCAAACCAAAACACTTGCTGGAGTCAGTCCCAAGCCCCATCCTCAGTGCTCAGCTATCTTTCCCAGAACTGATGCAACTTGGATGACAAAGTTGGGCAGCTGTTTCCACATTCAGAGATAATACATTTTAGATTTACTGCTTTTTGCCCTCAAGGTTAACATGGAAGTCTGCTAGCTCCCACGGTGTAATACATAACAGAGAAGTCAGCTCTGATCCGCACTGTGTCCAAACAGGAGCTTCACACTTCCCCACAGCATAAACTGGCTCAGAAAGAGACTCTCAGACTGCTCCACACGAAGATTACTACCAGCTGGGAACGGGTGAATCTGCCTCAGCATTTTAGTGCAATGGCTTGGGAAGGCTTCACGGACCTCCCTGATGCTATTCAGCTTCTTCTCCTCCTTCCTCTTCCCTGTAAAATGTTCACATAGGTCACACAAGGACATTTGTCCTACATTGCACAGGGATGAAATGAGAAAAGTCCAGAAATAAAGTTTCAAAACGTTCTATGTTTAGGGGAAGACAGCTAACTGAACCCACAGTCCCAAATGCCTTGCTTGTGCTACTCCCTCCATTTCGGTTTCAGATGGCACCAGGCAGAGAAATTCAGTATCTGTGTATTAAGACCATGGGAATGTTGGAAGATGCCTGCAGAAATAGGCTAACTGATTTCCTACAACAGGATCTTACACAGCACATTTTCTTTTCGAAAGGCAGCAGAGTCTCTTGAAATGGCCTTGTAACTGGAAGGTCAGCATAGTGCTGTGGTGTCTCAGCCAGATGATGCAATAAGCAGAGGAAAGAAACTAATGAAAAATATCCAGCTATTTTGGACATATCACAAATTTCTGCATAGTCTCTTTCCCATAGAGTCTTGAAATGGTTTATTATTTGAGAAACTATTTACTAACCTTATGTTTAGGGGACTGTGTGACTAATTTTGTAGCATAGCAGCTTTCACTGTACAAACACTCTTTTCCATGGGTTTGTGTGCATGGGGAAGTCAATATTTGTATAAAATATTTAATGAAGGTGTGCAGTCTCAGGTCTCCAGGAATATTCTCACTCATTCTCAGAGTTCAGGAGCCACATGCGGTGTGACCAGTGGCAGAAATGATGTCATTTATATGCTTGGTACCACCTTGTTCTCTGCAGTGTGAACACCCTCTCTGGGAACCTGCTGCTTTGTTAGCTCAATAAATGAGGCAGACAGACTGTTTTATTAGGTTCCATGGCTCCGGCTGATTTTATAGCAGCTACTGCAGCAGGTAACATGACTGGATGAGTAAACTGGGGCACAAAAGGTTTTACTAATCTGTCACAACTCCTCATGAACAGCAGAGCACATCCTTATCGGCATGCCTTCACCCCACCCGTACACAACACAGCATTCCCAGAGAGGTGTAGTGATGTTGTTTATCTGCCTAGATGCACAGAGTCTGTGGCTAAGTCACACTCCTGTTAACCACCCCTTTGTGTTTTGAGGGATCACACCTCATGCAAAAACCTTCTGGCTCCCAACTGGCGGCTGCTGCAGCTTCAGGAGGGAGGAGGGGGGCAGCTCCAGCAACACATCAGAGCTAAGCAGAAGCATGTCCTACACAGACAAGAGTTTCCTGTGCTCCAAGAAAGCCATGTACCATCTGGAGAAGTGGGCCTTTGCAGACAGCATTTCGAGGGTGATTACATCTGTGTCATATTTCCTGAGGTTACATGGGGCTTGAACATGAACCAGTGCAGTTCTGCACTAGCAGAAAGGTCAGATCCACGAAGCTCAGCACATGAACTGTTCAAAGCCATCTGTGGGACCCTCCCAAACTCATCAGCATTAAAAAATAATAATATACCATGTTCTCATTCACCTTCTATGTAATTCAAGTTAATCTAATCTATGCTCCAAAAATATGATTTTTAGTTATGAAAGCTGCAGTTTTTGCATAAACACCTCTTCCAACTCATGGAAATTTGCTGTAATGTTGAAGACGACAAACCTGATGATAAACCTGTTAGAGCAGGTAACCTCACTCAGTCTCAGGCTTGGTCTTCTTAAAATGGTTTCCTTATCCCCTAGTGAGGCTTCAGCATTAGCGAGGCAGCCAGTGACAGACCCTAACTGTTAGCTGGGGTTCATAATTCTGACATATGACACCAGTAGGAAAGTCCCACTAAGAACATAAGGTAAAAGGAAGCACCCAAATCATCTGCATACAACTACACTTTCTGCAGTAACTGGAGAAAGCCCTCAACCACGTGAGGTAGCAGATGAGCATGGCTGTGCAGACTCATGCAACAGCCGTGCCGAGAGGGACCTTGACTCTGCTTCTCACACCAAGAGCACGGCGCTGAAAGCAGCCAACTTGCTACCCAAGGAGCCCTGACCATCGACCTTCTGCTGGCTTTATTCCTTGCTGAATAGGCAATGTATGATGTCATCAACTCCTCCTGGACACACCGTCCATTTCAAATCAAACTCAGATTTCCATCATATACACTGAGTAGCTCAGCTCCCTATAGGAAGCTACTCCCTCATATTACAGGCTTCAAGGGCTATGTTTGCAGGATACTAAAGATACAGACTATCAGCTTGCACTCTTGGGAGTGGTCAAGATTTTCCCACAAACTTTCCTCTAATCTCACCTGGCTCCTGAACTAGAAACACCCATCTCCATACTAAAATAAAAAAACCCAACACATTTCACCAGTGAGGGTAAGAGAGGTGGCGCAAGTGGTGCCAAGTCCAGTCAAGTACAACACCCTGGAAAAGGTGACTGGTGTGTACAACAACGGAAGAGTCCTAAGGAACCCCAAAATTATCACTGCTTCCTCTCTTCTGTTTTTGACAAAAGCCTTGACTCTCCCTAGAAACATGTGATAGCTCCACAAGTGACAGCAAGGCTTTGAGCTATGCCGCACTCCAACCACACCACCCAGAGCTCTCCTGCATTTACACTGAGCATTCAGGATAAGTCCTCTTCTGTGCACAGAATCCAATTAGATGAATTCCTGCACATGAATGAGCAGAGAAAATGCTGCTTGATTGTAGCAGGCCAGCAAGGTGACTGCGTAATTGCTCTGAACCCAAGGATTGTGGTAGCCTGCAGCCTTGCAGGAGTTCAGCTCACGAACGCGTGTGGGCACAGAGGCTACCGGGCTGCGTGTTCATAGGACTACCAGCCAGACCTCATCCAGCCCAAAGTTCCACATCTCCTGTGCAGTGCTGGGTGAGATCCTAACATGACCTTCATGCAGTATCTCGTGCAAGCTCTGCAGTTCCTCATGACTTGCAGTAGCCTGCATATGTGCAGGCCTTTCTGAAGGAAAAAAAAAAGGTTTAAAAAAGGGTGCCAAACACGGCTATATCTGAATAACTTCCTTAAACATCTCGTGGATAGAGTCACTGAAGCACGGCAGATACACCATCACTCATGGGAGTACAAAAGTGAATTACTGGGGCTTAGCAAATCATTTGCATTGAGTAATTTTTTCAAATACAGCCTTTCTTCCTCCATACAGCATAGCTGAGCAACAGCCTCGGATATTGTTGCATGAAGAGGATGATCTTGGGCCATTTTCTCAAAGAGACACAGCACAGAATACCTGGAACCAGAACTACAAAGCCCTGGCACTCTTCCAGATCTAGCTTGCTGTGGGGATCAGACAGTTCTAACAGTTTAGGTGGCTATATGTGCCTTCCTAAATTTTGGGCCTCTCTTCAACTTCGCACAGCTTTGCCTATACACAGCATGGAACCTGGCTACTCTCTTCCCTCCATCCTTCCTCTCTGCTCCTCCTAGACCAGCAGGTTCACAGAAATCCCTGACTGAGGCTGTTTGCACAGTTCTGTGCACTTGAAATCAAGGAGTTGTAAGAACCTTTCTTCATATAAGGATTTTTCAGGGGGTTTTTTTGTACCTCTGCCTTTGTACTCTTGTTTCAGGTCATGCAAGAGGATGAAGCTCCCATCGGGGGAGGAACTGTGGCTACTGCAGGCTAATCTGCTGCATACATGGGGCTCCCAAAGCAGGAGAGGAACCACAGCACTGTGTTATTGGGGTTGCATTGGAGAAAGAAAAAGTGACAGAAACTAATTAGGGGACTAAAGGCTTCTTAAGCTCACTTGGTAAATTCATGCTGGAGAGTCTGGTTTTATCCCAAATTCAATTAATATGGCATCTGACCCCAAATGTCAAAAATTCCTTCAAATTACTTCTGAAAGCTTTGGATGAGGAAAAAATTACAGACTGGGATGAAAAATGGTTTATAAGCTGTCCAATAAGGAAGAAAATAAATACAATTAGAAAAATTTAAGGAACTTTAAAATTATTTTCTTGGCCATAAGTCTCCTAAAAGACATTAAATCAGATTACAGTACAGTGAGAGATGTAGAGTATACAGAAAACTTTGACAGATGTGTAATCAGCGCATATTCAAATCCTACCACATCGTTTTATTTGCACTGTTGATCTGGCAGAGGGAGTCTGAAGACTCTTCTGCAGCATGAAGCAATCTCATACAGCTTCTGAGTACTCAAGAGTGAGTTTAAAATGTACCTTTCATATTCCCAGGCTTATGAAAAGCAAATGCAGCATGTATGTAGCCAAGATGTCATCTGAGTAAATGGAGGAAGTCTTTGCAAAATTATCTCCCCAAGGAAGCATTATGGCAGATTATTTTAAGCAAATAGGTAGTCCTTGTATGATAAGTAATCGACATTGAAAAGGCACAAAACAGACTATTTTACCTCTCTTGGATCTGAAGCTTTTGAAGCTCATCAGCCACTCCATAAGGTAGCATCTCCTTGGGCAAATTGCAGCGTTGTGCCCATCTTGCCGCTGTGTTCAGATCACAGTAACTGATTAGCAACTGTATCAGGTGCCCTTGAAGCCATCGATTCTCTCCAACTGTGCTCTGAAAGAAGAATCAAGGGTGAAGGAAGACTGTCAGTACAATTTCCATCATGGGTGTTTCCACCCTCTCTCAGGAGACAGCATCCTCCAGGGTGTCCTGGACCAGTGGAGAAAGGAGAAAGAATCCCCCTAGGTCACAAGTGATTTTGTTCAAATCCAGTGAGTGCTGTACTTCTCTGCCAAAAGATGAAAAGCACATACGTTAACTGAGAGCTCATCGGGGTCCTTGGATCCCCTTGACAGGCTATTTGTTCAGGGAATACCACTTTGAAGGTGCAGCACAGAGAAACAAGGGTAAAACAATACCGTTTAGCCTGACTGATGACCAGCATACTATTTGCTCAGATACTGATTATATTAAGCAAAATCAGAACCAGGGACTGACCAGACAGTAAAGGTCTTTGTGCTCATTAGGCAGGTAATTATGGAAGGGGTAAGAGTTTGGATTGTTTTAGTCCCATTTTGTGCCTGTACATAGCCCTGAAGTGATGCTGTGACTTGATGTCCTGGAAGAGGCAACAGGATGGCTTAGTCTTTCTCCAGGTAAGACAGCGCAGGAGGTCTCCTCCAGCCTTGGGAATATTTGCATGAGTAATTAGGATTGCCACTCACACGCAGGTTACAGGTAGCACACATCAGCAAAGCTTTCCTGAGCAACAGACTTTGGTGTTCACAGCAAGCAAAAGGCTCGCTCATCAGCCATCAGCCCATCTGCACACGCCGTGAAAACAGGGGCACCAGGTCCCTCCACCAGCAACATGCAACAGCACGCTGTGTGTACAGACGCCCTGTGCAGCCAGCACAGGCCCAGCCAGCACTGCAGATGGGCTCCAGGGTGTGAGCGATGTCACCCTGCACCAGAAACAGGTTGTACAGAATGTGTTCCAAAAGTCCTACTTTATCCCCACTGATCACAAGAGGAACCTGGAGGAGTTGCTCCAGCTGTGAAGAACTAGGGTTGGGTGCAAGAAATTCCTCCCTTTGTGTCTATTCAAGACCTCTGTGGACGTGACAACTGGATTATTGCTTCAGCCATATGGACAAACACAATGATCTCAAGCGTCACTGTAGGAGCCTGTGTTACATGCACCTGCAAACAGGCAGAGCAGTTCAGGACATTCCCTGTTCCCAGCTGTTTGTTGGCAGAAGCAAACATGTGCCTGTGCCGCGGCACACTGCAGCGCCCGGGGGCACAGGCACAAACTCATGGCTGCCTGTGGTTTAAGCCCAAACACCCAGCGGTGAGCCAGAGTGGCTGGAGCCTGGCACGCTGCCCACCCTGGCACGAGGGAGCAGCTATCGGTGAGGGGCACGGCGGACAAATAGGGCCCGTAACAGTCTCCGCTGTGACAGCTGGATTCACCAAAGCTCGTTTGTCTTGTTCCACCCTCCTGGTGGATGCAGTTGTAAGAGGAAATAGGAACACAGTGACACTGACAGTCCCAACAGCTACACGGGGGTGGGAACACCCTCCTCCTGCCCAGCCAACCCACCTCCGCTTGCAAATATCCCAGAGCCACTGCAGCCAGATCAGCAACTCAATCCTCTTGCCAGACTGATTTATTCATGGACCTGCCTTAGAAGTTAATATTGTCGAGAAAACTTAATTGCTAAAACAAGTTGAAACTCTGCACGGTGGATCAGGATCTGTAGCTATATGGCTACATTGCTGCTGGCACTACCAACAAGTATTTTTCAGTGTGAAATGCTCAGATCAGCACTTGAAGTCCACTCCTGCCCTCCGCACATGCCACTGCCGTCTCTCCTTTGCTGCCCACCAAGCAGCGCTTGCGGGGCCACGATCTGCTCCCAAGGACTGCAGGCACCTTGCTCTTCCTCCACTGCGTGTACAAACACAGCCCGGCTGGGTGGTAGGCTGGGGCCACGGGGCCTCATTCCTCGCATTCCTTCAGCAACTAAAAGGTGAGAAGTTGTCTTCAAAGCAGACACCCTGCACAGAGATCAGGAAACAAACCTGTTGATGGCCCCAAGGTAAGCGGGAAGGAAAAAAGAAAGCAAAAAAGAAAAAGAGAATGACCCACCCCATAGAGGTGCAGGAGGGGGTAGAGGCTTGGAAGAAAAGCCACAGAAAAATTTGGCATCCCAGGTAGCGCACACAAGAAACCAGCCTGCTCATAAAAACTGCTGCCTCAGCACTAAGTCTGCACCCCTGTGACTTTGACAAATGCCAAACCACATTTCTTCTCATGGATATGCGGAGGAATACTTTTACTGCTGCTCCTAAGAGGTTGGTGGCACAGCAAGGAGCCAGTGTCAGCAGGATGGGGGACCACCAGCTATCCAGGGGCTCAGTTACAGCTGAGAAGCAGGAGAAGGAACCTTGGGAAGGGGCAGAGCAGGAAAGGATAAGCTACCATGTTAATGCTTCTTTCCCTCTGCATTTCCTCCTGAATCCTTCCTCCCGGCCATGCCAGTCCTGATACTTTGTGCATCTCTCACATCTCTGCCTCATGCAACTGAGCTCAGCCAAGCACCTAACCCAGGAAGGAGCTCTGACTGACTCCTCTTGCCATGTTTGCCAAGCCACTTCTCAGAGTCCATCCCAAAAAGAACATATTTTCTTACTAACGTCACAGAGCAATTCCCTCTTCCAGCTTCCCCTGTGTCCATCCTATTGTCTTTCTGCCTTTTTTCTAGAACACAAAGTCTTTGGGGTTGGATCTCTCTTCAGTTCACCCAGAGTCAATTCTTAATAAATCTCATTATGTCAGCTTTATTTCTGGAAATAATGAGGTGCAGATTTTTTTTTTTTAATTTTAATGATAACAGATTTATTCTTTCAACCACAAAAACAACTCTGGAAAGAAGGTTAATGTCTCCAGAGATATTACATCTTGCATTCTGAAACGGAAAATAGCTTTGTTTGTTTTTTACTGAAAAAAACCCCAACATTGCTATAAAGGGGAAAGGCTTCCACCACAACAGCTTTGCAAGAAGCAAGAATGTGGAAACTTTGGCCTCAGAAGATGTGGGCACAGATGCAGAGACAAATGTTTCACTAGGGATGACATTTCATGTACTTTGTTTTCAGTAAATGAAGACTTTTCAAGAGGAAACTGGTCCGATCAACATCAGCAACACCTCTGAGCAGGAACAGATTATATATACCATGAGGCTTGTTTACATCCCTCTCTGAATTCTAGACATATCATACATCCTTTAATCCATAAGCGCGCACAAAACCTCCTGACACCAACAATAACCCATGATTAAAGCTTTCCAAAATGTCTGCTGCAGATTACCTACCCGTAAATCCTGTTCTTACCCAGCCGAACGCTTTTCAACACTCAGAACAACCAGTGCAGAGCAAGCTTAGGAATGTCCTGATCTTAACCCATAGCATCAGCAATTCTTCCATTTTTATCAATAATTTTGGGTCCAAATATCCAATATCTTCTTTGGAAGTCACCCTAGCCAACGCTAGATTACTTTTATCTGTATGTGTAAGGTTGCATTTCTGTCTGGTACAGTTCTTCTGCTTTCCCTTAACGTCTTTTACCAGAGAGTGAGTTATTCACACCAGTGACACTGGCTATTTGCAGAGTCAGATTTTAATTTAACTTTTGAATGTCTTGGCCAATTTCCTCTGTTCTCAAGTGCTTCCAGAATCAACAACAAAAAAATCCTGTTAGAGAAAACGTCAAGTAGAATATTTTAGAGCCAGCAACTTTCAAAAGGGAAAAAGAAACCTGGACTTTGAAAGGACAAACCCACTGTAAGCAGCAGAGGACACCAACAGCATTTCTAAATTCACTGCCCTGCCACAGGTACTTCGCCGACACCTTTGTTTAAAGGTTCCCCGGAACATCCTACTGTGTTAGTTTCATTGTTACTTTATTTTATTCGTGCTTGAGATTTCTGTTTTGGAGTTAGCATCACTTGTACTACATGGAGCGAGGCTGCAGGAACACGTCACCCTTAGCATGTCATCGAAGGGAAGTCCTTTCTGCGTGAGATTGGAGCTGGGACGCTCAGGGCCAGCTCAGGCCAGGGTCACAGCCTGCTCCGCGAGACAAGGGGGATCCCGCCTCCTGGACACCCTACAGGGATGGCGCTCGGATAAAAGACGCCAACTTTACCCGCACTCGCTTCTAACAGGGCTTCGCGTGGAAGCAGCAAGCCACTCACCCATGGCCAAGGCACAAAGACAGAAGCATGAGAAAGCCGTGCTTTCTCACCACTTGAGCTGTTCTCTCGCTCACAGGCACCGGCTACTCAGAGGCACTAATTTATGAACTGAAGAAGAACAAAATAGCCTCCATTCATATCCCAGAAGACTGACTTTCAGATAGCAATCAGTGCGTCATTGACAGAGCCACACTTCAGTGTTCTGGAGGCCATTACCACATCAATGGTGGGGAAGTGGTCTTTATTCTCTCTTTCAACAAAGCTTTGGTAATGTGGCTCCCTGGGGCATGTTCACACTACCTAGCTTCAGCTTCGTCAATCAGGAGACTGAGCTTCCCAGCCTCCCCATGCAATCAGCTCTTCTGAAAGGCAATTTAGAGGAGTCTAACTTACAGTATCACTTGAACAGATCAAGGCGAAGGCAATTCTTAAAGCCAACTTGCTGCTGTACTGGGGCTCCTTACAAGAAGTTTATTGTTCCTGGGCAACCTGAATGAAGCTGCTAGCCTGTGATGAGTAGCTAGGACAATATTGTGTGACGAGAGCATCTGGCTCCGTTTTTCTCTCTGCAGCTCACACAATCTTGCCAGTGCAATTTGTCGTTCAGAAGTCCAGACACCACTACCAAATGGCAGCGAGAAGAAAAAAAACCTATAGCTCGTCTGTTAAAACTCACCCGGCTGACTGCACAGCCAGCTGCGCTTCAGCCAGCAGGCTGAGGGAAGAAATTACTCCCCTCTGTTCTGCACTTGAGAGACTACACCTAGACATGGTGCCTAGTTTTGGCACCCCAGTGTAAAAAAGATGCTGAAAAGTAGGAGAGAGTCAGTAAAGAACCACTGAGATGGTTAG